TGTGCGAGCATAGCCCCGGAGCTGCCCTAAGCTCCAGCACCTCCGTCGCAGCCTGTTCCTTAAGCCTCGGGTCACCCCCAAGCCCTGTCGAGAAGGCGGGGAGCTGGCTCTCGGTGCGCCTCCAGCAGCCCCTGCACCAAACAGCGTCTCCAGGCCCGCCTCAGGCTTGCGTGGGCTGTCAGAGCCTGGCCTCTCGCTCTCCTTGCGGTGTGGTGCCGAAGAGGGACAGGCAAAGCACTGACTGGCTCCAGACACACTCTGCTTTTTACACCACAGGTGCTAAACAAGAACTATCGTTTTTTAAGAGTGTTTCACGACAATTTTCTTCCCTGGTGTAAGACATTTACTATCTCAAGTGTTGTACTTTACTTCTGTGGCTGAGTTTCAAGTAACAGGCAACTACAGAATAACCATTTTAACCTCTGAAAGCGTATGTATTTCCCACCACCCGAAAAAAAAAGGAAAAAAGAGACCCCAAGAGAGAGGCCCAAGAGAAACTTCATCCCCTCCCCCTCCTTCTAACAGCGACTTTAGGAGAGCAATTTTAAACCAATGATATTATATATATTTTACAAAATTCATCTCATTTTCTGGATAGCACTCAACCTTCCCCAGAATCAACTGCTTCTGCATCTTGCCTACTGATTCCACCCATTTGCACAGAATGACACGATTCTATACAACATGCAGCACCTGGAAACAGCGTTACAACATTCATTTTCCTTTGAGAGACCCACTTGACTGAGCACAAGAGATCAACATGATGTTCCAAAATACAATTCCAATACTAAAGGCAGCTCTTTTTCCAAACATGTAAAAACAGAATGCGCAGATGAGGCAATCATATTTGAGACACCTTTCATACAGTTGCCTTTTAATAAAAGTATCCCAGTACTTCCTTGATTATGCTTTAGAAGCAAAGTGTTTATATTTCTTCTTAGTGTTCCAGTGCCTTTATACAAAGGAAAAAAGAAAAAAATGTGATACTAAAATACCCTAAAATCTGGAATTCTTTTCTACTGTAGTTCAGATCCAAGTAAACATTACATTTTATGCAAGAATTACCTTTATTAATCTTACTTGAATTCTTCCCTCCTTCTGTTCTCCTCATAGGAAGTAAACAATGTTATCCCCTAACATACCCAGGAGAATATCTCATAATGAGAAGTTACCTGTTTGTCGTCTAAAAATCCTGATTAGCAAACAATTTTGACGACTTGCATACATCTACAAGATAATCCAAAAGGGCTGCCTAGATGTAGTTGAAATAGTTAATATTCCAAGAGAATGATTAAATCAGAACTGGACAGAGAAACCCTCATCAAGAGTCACTGAGCAAAAGACGATATATACAAGTCTGAAAAGTTCTATGCATTTCATTGACTTCTAAGTTCTCTGGGTCTTGAACAACAGCATTTACAGGCTGAACTGGTCTAGTCTTGAAACTACTAGAAACTGTTTGTATACCTATTATGCTAGTTAACTGATATTATAGAAAACAATGCATATGGTGAAATGTTGGCTACATTAAAACTAATTGTTCCGCAATTAACTTCAATGAGATGAGATTTCTTTAAGCAAAAGAACCCTTAAAGCAAGAATTGTCATAACAGGTAATTATGCTAGTCTTGCCAATAGCCTGAAAAACACCAGTAGCAGCATTTTGCATTAAAAGAGTAATAAACAGGAAGAATTTAAGGGATCTTTCTAGAAAATAATACTATTATTCAGCAACTTATTGTAACCATGTGATTCTACTTGATGTAGTAAGTGCATGCTAGCACAAGGTAACTGAACCTATCATTACAATTTACGTTGCACATGTAACTGGTGATATTTAGTCAATAATTCTTAATTATGAATATATTAAAACCAAATGTTTCCATCTTGTAACTGGCCAATACTTCCATTCCACAAAGCTCTGGTTGCTTGAGTTTAATCACTGAAGTAATTGAAAGAGAAGATGGATGCAAAGACTGCAACGGCAGCTGCTATAACCACACCTAAAATAACAAAGGAAACGCATTCAGTGAGTGGCAAGGGCAGCAGTCAAGACAAGCTAGGGTGTGGAGAGCAGGGTCACGGTGAATATTTACCACTGCTAAGCCTAAATCTAAAGCTACCATGTCAGATAATTAAATTATAAAAGTTCCACATGACATTTTTAATCAGAGCAGGATCCTTCCACCTGTAAGCATGCTCACCGTATACTTCTGTAGTACCTTGGCTGCGTCCTGCCCCCCCCAAATAATGCACTGACTCTGCACTACCACTTAGTTCTAGGAATCAGACTAGGAAAAGTAACAAAAATTTTAAGCTTTAAGAAACAAAAACTATAAAGTTTTTTCTTTAAAACTACATCTACTCTGTCTCTGTAGCACAACAGTAATCTTCCTATTAACATGCTGGTTACTGATGCAGTTGAGATGACAACACATAAAAAAAACCCCAAAGCACCTGAATGATTATATTTACTGCTACTTCTCCTTAATCTTCCAGTTAGCATGTTATAAGAATTAATAGAAAACCAAAGTTATTGCTTTGTTGACCAAAGTGTAACTGTCATTTAATATAAAAAATACACAAAAAACTCAGCAAAGAGAACCGTACTAAGTGCAGGCAGATATATGAGAGCTGGACCAAGGAGTACCAATACAGAAACTGTATCTGAAAGACGACTGTGGCTGGTGTTCCCTGAATTACCAAGGCTGACAATTAACACTCAAGCCCATATGTACTTGTCAGCTTCAGATGAAGATTAGTAAGTCACTAGCAGATTTATGGATACCTACTTGACAAAGCAACTCAACTGTGATTTGGTGGTGGTTTTTTGGGGGTCTTTTTTTTTAAGTATGGAATTATAAAAGTGGTGGCTCTCCAAAAAAGGAATAAAGCTACATAAGCCTTTTGTATTGACTTGAAGGCTAAACAAATGCAAACACTGTTTTTGTCCCAACAGTGGGCTGTGTTTTTTTCTGCCCCAGAAGCACCCTGCACCTACAATACTGAAATAGGGACTCATTTAAGAAAAGTATTGTATTAATCTCACTTGTTTGCTAATAATGCTGTGGAAGGAAACCGTACAGAAGGGGCCCATTATAGTTTCTGGATTGCAATAGCAAAAATTAGGGAAGTAACATACCCATATTTTGTTGAAGTTTCAAGAGCAATGTTGCTTTTGTCAGTTGTTTCTGTTGTGTCTCATCCACATTGTCAGTAACTGGACAAATATCAACTGCATGGAAAGCAAATGAAGAAATAAATACCACGTGAAAAGCTAACAGTTGTGTTTCACATTTGAATTAATACAAAGGGTCAAGAACTTTGGATCGACTTTATAAAATAGATTTATGGCAGAAAAAACCAGCTTATTGCAGTAGAAATCATACAGTAGGAACAGCATAGTACTAAACTATTCTGTGTGTCTGGAAGAGTAAAAATAAAGAGAAAAATACATTTGGGAAGCAGTCTCTCTTCCAAAACTCATTTTCCACATCCTACTTCGAGAGTAACGTATCTACCCCCTTTTACATAACTTGGGGAGAATTTGAGTACTGTGAGAGGGAACAACCAAAACGAACCAGGACTTGCCCAGGAGCCGGCACCTCCAGAGAGGATGCCTTCAACACTAGAGCAAGGGGAAGCACAGCGTCCAGCATACAAGAAGGGCTTCTGCAGGTACATAGCAAACAAAAGACAGACTAGGGACAACATGGGCCCTCTCCGGAAGCTATTGGGAGAACTGGCTACTCTGGATTTGGAGAAGGCTGAGGTTCTCAATGACTTCTTTGCCTCAGTCTTCACTGGCAAATGCTCTAACCATACCATCCAAGTCTTGGAAGGCAGATTCAGGGACTGTGAGAATGAAGACCTTAGGCCCACTGTAGGAGAGGATCAGGATCGAGACCATCTTAGGAACCTGAACAAGTCCATGGGACCTGAAGAAATCCATCCACGGGTCCTGAAGGAGCTGGTGAATTAAGTTGTTAAGCAACTGTCCATCATATTTGAAAAATCATGCAGTCAGGTCAAGTTCCTGATGACTGGAAGAAGGGAAATATAACCCCCATTTTCAAGAAGGGGAAAATGAAAGATCCAGGGAACTACAGACCAGTCAGTCTCACCTCTGTTCCTTGCAAAATCTTGGAGCATTCTCTTGGAAAGCATGCTGAGGCACATGAAAAACAGCGAGGTGGTTGGTGACAGCCAGCATGGCTCTACTAAGGGGAAATCCTGTCTGACCAATTTGGTGGCCTTCTTTCTATGATGGGCCTACAGAACTGATGGATAGAGCCAAAGCAGTTGATGTCATCTACCTGGACTTGTGCAAAGCATTTGACACTGTTCCGCATGACATCCTTGTCTCTAAGCTGGAGAGACATCAATTTGCTGGATGGACCACTCGGTGTGTAAGGAATTGGCTGGATGGCTGCATGCAAAGAGTTGTAGCCAACAGCTCAATGTCCAAGTGGAGACAGGTAACAAATGGTGTCCCTCAGCGATCGGTGTTGGGACCTGTCTTGTTCAACATCTTTGTCGGTGACATGCACAGTGAGACTGATGTGCCCTCAGCAAGTTTGCCGACAACATCAAGCTGTGTGGCTCGGTTGATACGCTGGAGGGAAGGGATGCCATCCAGAGGGACGTGGACATGCTTGTGAGGTGGGCCAATGCCAACCTTATGAAGTTCAACAAAGCCAAGTGCAAGGTCCTACACCTGGGTCGGGGCAATCCAAGCCACAGCTACAGGTTGGGCGGAGAAGAGACTCAAAGCAGCCCTATGGAGAAAGACTTGGGGTTGTCGGTCAATGAGAAACAAAATATGCCAACTGTGTGCACTTGCAGCCCAGAAAGCCAGCCATATCCTGGGCTGCATCAAAAGAAGTGTGACCAGCAGGCCGAAGGAGGTGATCCTGCCCCTCTACTCTGCTCTTGTGAGACCTCACTTGGAGTATTGTGTAGTTCTGGTGTCCTCAACATAAAAAGGACATCAAAATCTTGGAGCAAGTCCAGAGGAGGGTGATGAGGACGATTAGAGGACTGGAGCACCTCCCATATGAAGACAGGCTGAGAAAGTTGGGGCTGTTCAACCTGGAGAAGAGTGCATGGAGACCTCAGAGCAGCCTTCCCATGTCTGAAGGGGACCTACAGATGCCAGAGAGAGACTCTTCGTCCAGGACTGTAGCAACAGGATAAGGGGTAGTGGGTTTAAACTTAAACAGGGGAAGTTTAAGTTAGATATAAGGAAGAAGTTCTTTACAGTGAGGGTGGTGAGGCACTGGAATGGGTTGCCCAAGAAAGTTGTTACTGCTTCATCCCTGATGGTGTTCAAGGCCAGGTTGGATGGAGTCCTGGGTGATATGGATCAGTGTGTGGTGTTCCTGCCCATGGCAGGGGGGTTGGAACTAGATGATCTTAAGGTCCTTTCCAACCCTAACTATTCTATGGTTCTAACCATTAACGAACTTCCAAGATCAAAGTTTTCCCTTCAAAGCCGGAGTTCAGCCACATACAAAACCCACTGCCACTACAATAGTGAGCCCAGAGTAATGTCCCCTGTTGGTGATCCCTAAAAATACACTTTCAGAGCAGGCAGAGAAGACACATTCCCCTTTGGAAGTTATTAAATCCTTAGACTGCTCAGCCAAGATGTGAGACAGCTTGACTATTTCAAGACTGATGTATTCCAACCCAATCTATTTCCTTTCCAAAGATTTCCCTAATCATTTGGTTATATCCAACTTGTTAGAGAGCGGGAAGAAGGAAATTAATCTTGAGTCCTCTCACTGAACTTGTTCATCTGTCCCACAGAGAACAAGCATGCTTTCAACTGTACAGTTCAGTGATTCTTGAGAGTGGTGGACCAGAGGTCATCAATATGCATTCTTGTTCCGATGACGGTCTGCTAAGGCATCACTTAGTGTCAAAAATTCTGATTACAATTCAGTAGCTACTATTGCAGACATCTTCTGTACAACTAAACAGTAAGACAAAGTGTTGTGTTATTGCTGTGAGATCTGTATGTCTTCGGAAGGAATAGAACAGGCATGATTAAGTAAGAAAAAAGCCTAACAGATTGTTCTTGTTCAGAAGAAGAATAAAAAAACCACAGCAGTACCCGATATCAAGTTTTAGCAGTCCATGGAATAATCATATAAATAAAAACTGATCTCCCATTTCCAAAGTGGGGTTTGTCAATCATCTATTTTGGACCTGTCTTTAGCCATTTTTATCCCTGAACCTACTGACTTTGTATAGGATGTACTGCAGCAGAGCAATTAATAACTGTCTGAATCAAAATATAACAGCATACCGAGATATATATACACATGCGTACACTAACTCCCCCATAGCAGGGGGGTTGGAACTAGATGATTTTTAAGGTCCCTTCCAACCCAAACCATTCTATGATTTTGTGATTAAGCATAAACATTACTTTGATATCTCTCTGCAACCTGTACATGCGTGTAAAAATAAAAATAAGGACACAACATTTCAATACAATGGGTGCTTTTTTGAAAAGAAGTTATCAGGTATCTCTCAAGCGCACTGGTCCACAATGAGGCCATAGTTTCAACTTATTTTTAATGTGCAAAGGAAAAAACACACCCTCATCTGCCTAAAATATGAGCAGAAATCTTCAACTAGAGTGAAGAAATTATTAACTATTGCAAGATAGTTTTAACCCGCACAGTAAGAGCGCCACATTCTCTCCAAACTACAATAGTTTTCAATTCCCTAAAATAACGTACCATTTTTAGAGAAGCTGACCACATTTCTTGGGTCACCTTTGAAATCTAGATCCAGCAGTTTCTTTCTGCTCTAGTTTTGTTGAACAAGTAGGATAGTTTGTGCCCTCTAACTTTATGTTTCTTTGCACCTTCATAATAACTGTTGCACTTTTCAGAAGATAACTTTTGAAGCTGCACATCAAGACAGCAGTACTCAGTTGCTCAGGGAGGTAAAAAAAAAAGAAAGAGGAAAAAGAAAGAAACATCCTAAAGCTGCTTAGTTGCCAAAGGCATTTATGCTACTAAGATATGGAAGACTTGCATGTTAACTGTAGTGTAAATCACAGACAGAGTTTTCAAAAGCAGATGCTTTCTAATGCCAATTAGATGAATTCTTAATTTTTCATTAATTCTTCAATTTGCTAACAAAGATGAGGAAGTTTACCACTACTGAAGTCTTAATTATGTTTATTCACTCAGAGTATTTAACATTTCACCCTCACCCCCTGCACCAAGGAGGAGCAGGGATTTAGTAAAGCCAATCATAAATGCAGAACTTTCAATTGCTTGTAGTAAAGCACTAAATATCTTGAAACTACACTGTTTGGACTACTTTTATCTTTTAATTATAAACAGGTCAGTTTTTACATTCTATTTTCTATGTAAGAATTTTAAAGCATGACCCAGTAGTGACCTCACTGGAGAGCTGTATGAGGAATAGAAAGAATAAAACTATACAGACAGCAGCAGGGGCCGGACTAAGCACATAAACCTGACCTTCTCAAAATACTTTTATTTCACACATTTTGACTAAAAATTGTAAAAAATAAATCTTTGCTATACTGATTATTTCATCTTCTTCTCAAGTGCATATTTCAAAGAGCAACTACAAAAACATGAATTATTTCAAAAGCTTGCTCATGTTCTGGAGTTTTAATTCTTTTTATCAACAAACTTTCCAGGAATTTCACTATTGATAGCATTTGCAGTTAAGTCAAGGTTGGTGCCTAAGACCACAGGAATCATGATACAAAGATAAAGGCTGATGTCAAAATTCGTTACCCACCATTACTAGATATTGACTATTTATTAATAAAGATAGAGCTAAGCTTTGAGAGACAACAAATGCTACACAAAGTGGAATGATATCGAACAGTGTTGTGCTGATAGCATTATTACTATCATCACAATTAGCAGAACCCATTCTGTGGATATACTTTGTGGTTGTCACTGGGACAAGGGCAGCGTCTCATTTTTTCCCAAAATCATTGTTCTATGCTTTTCCCTCTCCTCTGCTACGCGCTTACCCTAATTTGCCCTTTTTTCCCCCACACATCTAAGTCACTAACCAGCAAGCTACAAGAACACAGAAGCACATTTTACAGACGTAATTTTACATGTATTAGTGGCATCAAATCTTTGAGGCACTGCTGTAAGTCTAATCACATTTTCTTCCTAGCTTCAGATCATACATCCTTACATCAGCAATAAAGCTAAACCGAATCATCTTCTCCCTCCCAAGCTTATCTCTGCTGCTGCTACAATATTAATTTACTTCCCTGAGTTACACTAATTCCTTAAATCTCAGTAATAATTAGCTTTAAGATTATTAAAGTTACTCTTATAATTCAAGGCAGATTTTTATTGGCCTTCCTGTTTTTCTTGAGGTTCTTGAGCTGTGTTCATCTTTTACTTCTCAAGATAATGAGTCAGATTAACAGCTAACAGGTTTAGTTAAAGCCAGGGGAAAACTGATTAATTTAGAAGGACATAAGAATTTATGGTTAGCTCTGAAATCAAGAAAATAAAAAAAAACAACTGAACAAGTAGGTGAAGCAGAGTATCAGGAATCGCAGTTCACTCTTCACAGCAAGCTTATGGCTACATTTCTCATTTTTTGTCCCTAAATATCAACACCAAAAAGTGATCACACTTTGTATCTGAAAATTAATGTTATTTTTTTCTTTTAAATTATAAAACTGTAACTGCTGTTCATGTTGATGGGAATAAAAAAGGGCAGAAATCTCTTCCATATATTATTAGATGCATTTCAATTACAGATTTGACTCCTACATTGAAACTGAAGTCACATGGGGGAAAAAAATAAAAAAAAATAAAATAAAAAAAGAAGCACAACAGGAAATTATATAAACAAATATTCAGGAAAAGGAAGTCAGTAACTAGATTATAGCAAAATACCTCTATTTAAGGAATATAACAGTATCATAATCAGATCATAAACTTATACAAAAATTCAGTAGAAAAATAAAAGCATTCTCAATTTTCTTTCCAGTTCTGGTGAATCACAAAAATTCAGTTTGGGCATTTGATACATAAATTAAAACACTCAGAACAAAGAATGGTACTTTGTATTTTTGAAAAAGTTTTAGCATGAGAACTTCCTGAAAGACATATTAGACTATATGTATTTTTTGCTAATAGAATTTTTAAAGTATTTTTTAACTGTTCAGTGAAAAAACAGTATTTTTGACTAAACCACTCAACTTCTAACTTATTCTAAGTAGTATAAGAGTTACTCAGCTCTACAAATATTGAACTACTGAAAAAGTAACCAGAATATAAAGCTTTACAAGTGTTTCTTACAGTTTACTTGCCAATATAGAAACACTTCTTAATTCCTTTGCAGAATAAAGTGAGCAAACCTTGTTTGACCATATATTCATATATCTACTGCACTTCATGAGCTGCAATCATGGTTGGACAGATAATGCAGTGAAAGAGCAAAATATCTGAGAGGAGAAAGAGAGGTCTTTTAGAAGCCAATCACAAAAACTAAAAAAACCCTTATCATTTTTCACAAATATATTTAAACTGTAATCTGAAAGATCATAAGGTTGATATAAACCTTTAGAGCTTGATAAGAAGTAAGCAAACTTTAAGCATATCAATATCTGGATAAAACTGGCCTATGTCACTAGTCAACATTTCATCATCCATGATGCAGTCTATCCTGGTTCTCAGATACTATATTTACCTGTGTTAATTTCCTCTGCTATATTGATATCTTCAGCTTGCACAGATTGATCCAACATTTCAACAAAACGTTCCTGAATTTCTCCAGTAGCCTCCTCACCAAACCTATAATCACTGAGCATCACACTGGATCCAGCAATAGGGACAAACAGTCTTTGAGGTAAGACATGATATTCCCTCTCAAAATCTAAAAGAAAAGGGAAAAAATACCATCCAAATAAAAGCTCAAGGTTTCCATAGTTCATGCATGGCTTGTTTAGTTGTTACTGTTTCATGAAAGTTTGGGTGCTATTATATTGATTTATGCTCTTACATTAGTCTCTCCAGAAATACCCGAGACCTCCAAAACAGACCATAAAATATTAAACAGATCTTTTTTTAAGTTTAGAACAACTAGCAAGAGAACTCTGGGAAAGGCTGCAGGTAAAACTGTACACAGAACAGCATATGATTTCAACACCATAAAGAATTGCAAGTACTTGGCTACTATGTGACATACTTAAAGCCACAAAGTACAGGTGCCACCTAAAGAGAAAACTGAAAACTGCATGCAAATGAAAAGTTTAGATTATGCAGTTTGCATAAAGTTGGCTAACACCAAACAAATCATGTTATCCTAAACTAAGTAGTAACTCTGAACATAAGGAATAAGGAATCATTTTTCCTTGCACAGTCTGTTTTGATTTCTATTTTTAATAAAATCTCTTCCAAAAATAGTATCTTTTAAAAGGCCTTCCTTTATATAAGATCTTCAAATTTATATTTCAATTAACTAGTAATATTTGGTTTAAAACCAAACAAAAACCCCCCACAAATAAACAAAAAACCCCAACAAAACCACAGGAAGATAACTTGATACCATTACACTAACTAAAAGAAGTTTAAAGAATCGCCTAGCATGAGCTAGGAGATCCGGTCTCAGCATATACCCCCTTAGTTTTTAGCATAATCACAACAGGAAGTTTTATTTTCATTAGATCAATTTGCATTGCATTTTTGCCACTGCATAGTGCTCTCTTAAATTCAAGCTAATGCAATACAGTAATTATTCCTAGTGCTGAAATAAGATCTACTTATTTAAAAGACACAAAGCCTGTAAAATAGTACTTGATGAAAAGTAGTAAGTTCAGGGGGCAGAGATGACACAAATTTTGTATTTGTATAGTTAGTGAAAAAAAAAAAAATAAATCAGGATACTTGTTCACATCTTAATCACCATGTACAATGGCATTTTTTATTTAATGGAGATGAACTATTGAACTTCAGAGCTCACGTTCACTAGCAGTTGTAACATAGGTAATATGAAAACATGGAAGACTATGTCCAACTGGTTCTTTTGATCATACAAAGGTTTAGCATACTTCAATATTAATAGGAATACAATGCGGGGGGGGGGGGGGAGATTAAAATGTGCAAGTTACAGTTAGAATTTCAGTGACAGGAGTTTCAACCTGAATTTAAAATAAATAAATAAATAATTCCAAGTAGTGAGAAAGATACTGAAATTGCATTTTGTGGTCATGACACCTGAATACAAAGTTGGTGTGAAAGCTGCAGTTCCAAAGAACATATCTGAACTTGACTTAAATTCTCCAGATTTAAGAAAAAGTCAAGGCTGACAAACAGAAATTGTGCTATTTGCTTGTTATACAGCTCTAACTATCTGGGACTTAAGTATACCAGCAGAATTTTCTGCAATAACCAAAATTCGCTGCAATGGTAAGCCACTGGGTTTTTTTTGGTGGGGTATTTTTGTTTGCTTGTTGGGTTTTATAATTCATACCTTTTTTGTGAGGTCCTTCACTTATAATCAGATCTTCAAATAATATTTCACACCTATCACTCAATGTGTTTATTATGTCTCTTTTCAAAGCCTGTAAGGACAAAGTGAAAACATCAGTAATACAAGCCATGTTGAAAAAATAACCACGCTAACCCATGTTGAAAGAATATTTTTTCCCAGAAAATAAAGAGAATTCTTAGAAGATCAATAAAGAGGAAGCCAACATCAAAAGAATTAAAATAAAAAAAGAAAACAATAAAACAAAAATGAAAAGCTGAAGAAATTTTTAGTATTGTTATGATAAAAATTGGCAACTTCTAAACATGACCATTAAAATCAAACAAAAATAATCACAAGGCATTGACTTGGGGAAATCACCCATTGACAAGGGGGAAAAATATCACTGAACAAGTAATATGTATTTTCCCCTCCACACTTAGAAAAATATATTCTGCAACCTTTTTTTGATTTTAAGAAAATTCTTCAAAGCCTAATCACTTTGACAAGTTTGTGCAAAGATTCACCAGAGAACAGCCTTAGGAGACAGGACATACCTGCTAGAAGTAAAAAAGGAACTGAATCCGCAACATAGCACACAGATGGTTTCTAAAATAATCCCTGTGTTCAAGGGGATGAACATTTTGACCCCAGTTTAGACCATGTCATTTTGGCAAAGAAAAAACATATGACAAATTTCATGTATTTCAGAAAAACATTTCTGATGAACTAATAACCTTTTCATTACCTGAATAGCTTCTTTAACTTTTGGCTTGTTGTTATGTATGTAGGCTCTGCATTTCACAGCACCTTTGAGATTTATGGAACCACTGCAGACCTGGACTGTAGCTGTTGATCTATGACTTGAACCCTGGGACTGAAAAATAAACATGTTTCAGTTTTATCTTGTTACCAAGGTACTTGTAGAAAAAGTAGCAAAAAAAAAAAAAAAAAAAAAAAGAACTAGGAAATTAATAGCATAGAATCAGAAATTAATAGCATAGAATTATGGAATGGTTAGGGTTGGAATGGACCTTAAGATTATCTAGTTCCAACCTCCCCTGCCATGGGCAGGGACACCTCGCCCTAGACCGTGTTGCCCAAAGCCCTGTCCAACCTGTCCTTGAACACTGCCAGGGATGGCGCATTCACCACTTCTTTGTACAACCTGTTCCAGTGCCTCACCACCCTCACAGTAAAGAACTTCTTCCTTATATCTAACCTGAACTTTCCCTGTTTAAGCTTGAACCCATCACCCTGTGTCCTGTCGCTACAGTCCCTGATGAAGAGTCCCTCTCCAGCACCCTTATAGGACCCCTTCAGATACTGGAAAGCTGCTAGCATATCTTAAGATGTTTACATATAAGTCGTTTTCCCTTATAATTTATAGGGTTTGGGGGTTTTTTTTGTTAGGTAAGACTGAAAATATTTCACTTTGTCCATCATGGAAAATTTATCTACTTTTCCAGTCGTTCAATTTCTTGCAATTTAAATACTTGTGTCTGTAAGACTTCTAAAACTTTCCAGGCAAGTGGCTTGTGGTTTATATTAGTACTGCAATCTAGAAATCTTTCTAAGATTATCTTTTTATAAACAATGAAGTTTGTATGTCAATATATAGTCAGCATAACCTACGGTATCTTAAGAGTCATCCCATCAGTCTTACAAATGTGGTCACATTTACAACTGTGTCAAACTATTGCCTAGAAATAGTTGACCTAATTACCAAAATGACAAGTGTGTTGTATGAAGCACTCTAAAACAACACCCGGAAACACAAAGACGCATAACTTCCATGTGAACTGCATAAACTACTTCTGCCAAAATAAAAAGCTTTCCTTTCACTGAGGCAATCTGCCATAGGAACAACTTAACAAAAGAAGCTGAGATACTCATCAAATATTTAAAATAGCATTTTAGACATTTCTGAAAGTTTTTCCTAAATATAATTTTAGAGAATGCAGGAACTACCTGAAAAAATAGGATGGCCTGTGCTGCGCAAGCAGCCTACAAAACAGTGTCTGGACACATTTGGACTTTAGGACTTAGGCTGGGACACCTAATTCAGGGTTCAAGTCATCATAAGCTATGGTAGAGAGAGGAAACTCCTGAGAGACCTAACAGCTCCAGATTATGATTCGGCTCACAGGATCTTTATCTTAATTCAGAACTAGTGATAGAACTTTTGACAAAAGCATTCAAGTAAATGTCCATCGCTAGTCATGGCAAGTTGAAGAGGGCAATTCTGTACTTCAGAATGATGAAAAGTCACCTTAAAATTAATGTATGCAGGAATCCTACCATTAAATTAATTCATTTGCAGGACTTCATTTCTATAACGAGTTTTTCAAATTTTCCTTGCAGCTGTACTATGCAATTCTTAGACAATGTGGTTATCACACAAGAATTTCTAAAGACACAAAATATGCAGATCTGTCCACAGTTTCACAGTCAATATCCATGGGGGAAGTCCAAAGTCTTAGGATCAAGTAAGCTGTATTTCTAGACAGTAACTCAGAATGTTATTTTACTTTTTTATTCTATTTTATGAGTTAACAGCAAGCCTATATTTTACAAACCACTAAATACTTACCAGCTGTGTCAGGACTTGGACACCAGAAAACTGAGTGCTGGACTGAGTATTTCCTCTTGACTTTTTCTGAGGGGAAAAAAATTATTTGTGTCATGAAGCAGGGGGAAAAAAAAAAAACCTCCCTGAATTAAAGTCTCCTCACCATGGCATAAAATGGGCCTTTGTTTATAGCTTTTAAGAGAAAAAATGGCACATAGAAAACAGCAATGAGAATATGGTGCTTCCACTACTTGTTAAACATTTAGACATATATAACTCTTAGAAATCTCATCACCTGCATTCATACCTTACTCATGTTCTTTAATTAGGAGACAGCACATAGAAACATTTTTAGTCAGACTTCACATGTAATTATAGTGTTCATATTGCCAGAGGAAGAAGAGGCAATCTGCAGCAATGAAGATGGACCACAAGCAGTCCTGCATATTAGTTACCTGAAACAGGCCAATTAGATCAATAAATATTGTACAGAAGACGACCCAGTCAATGCTTTATCGCACTGGAGGTTCTAACTACCCATCTATTAGATTTCAGTTCTTCATTGTTTGTTACTCACCTGCCCCTCCAGTAGTTCTGCATCATAGTCTTTAACTTGTCCATTGATCAGAAAAACACTGTCTTCTACCTGTTTTGCCCATCGATTTAATCCATTCTTTAAAAAAGAGTGAAAACACAAAACTCTTTCAAAGAGGAAAAAAATTCACAAAAATTGGATAGTATCATGCTGAAAATGATAGAAATACGCGTTTCAACAGTTACACTGACAGAGTTTTAAAGTGTCTGAAAAATCTGTCTATATATTTTTCCAAAGCTAAATCTTAAAACCAATATATTCAGAATACATCCATCAAGAAACAAGCATTTCAAAATATTGAAGTGATTTGATTGTTTTGAAGAGAGTTATCCAGCCTACGGAAAGTCATATTAAAAGTGCCTCATAGCCCTGTTCTAATTGGATGTAACCTTTCACTAAGTGAAGCAGAAGAGACTGTAGTTGGAACACTCATAACAATTGTTAAACAATTTTGAACAAAGGAAACTGGCAAAACTAAGCATAGCAGAGGAAAAGCTATCCGCATTTTTTTATACTATGAATGCTTCACAGTAACCTCAGAGGAGTAACTGCCAAACATTTTCTGCTGATTAGTCCAAATCTTCTACTCACCCTATTAAAATCTTTCCCTCTCATTTAATTTTCAACAGAAAAAGTAGTGCAGAGACCAACTACAAAACTGGTGCAGCCAGTTAAGTTACCTTGATATTCTTTTCCAAGTCATGGTTTGGTGAAGTAGCAAGAAGTGGAATGTGAATATTAACATTTACTGTGCAGTCCAAAGCTAACCAGGAAGCAGACAAAGCACTCTGATATTTCCAATCTGCTGGTTTAGCTGAACTCTAAGAGCAGAAAAAAAAACAATAAAACATCTCTAAAGACCACCGTATAACTCAAATGGAGATTTTTTTTTTTTATATTTTTTTTTATTTTTTTTTAACATTACTTGTCACGCATTCGAAGCTGTGTATGACATGCAGGATGACTAACTTACCTTTGGATCTTGTACATCATAGGTTCGGCAAACTACTCTTTGCTACTTAAAGAAAAAGATCCAGTGAAAAGCAATAAACAGAATAAAAACAATTCACAACTAACTTTGTCCTTTACTTCTTTGTTGAGCTTATTTATGCTCTGAAGAAAGTTTTCATCTTTCACGAGTGTAAAAAAGTGCAAAAACCTTTGACTGTGAACTCCAACTACCACAGTGATGCTGTCCCATGTCTTACAAATATATTAAGATCAGTATGTATTCACATGGAGAAACACCTCTCTAAGGAAAAAACTTGCTTACTCTCTTTATATTATTATCAATAGACCCAGCATTCTTCTGCAGCACTAGTACAGATCCCACATGCCCCTTACTTCCCAACTTCCATGTAAATATCATTGGTAATTGCAAGGTCAAGCAGCTTTACAGTATTTTAGATGTTTTCTTCAATTTATGCAAATCAGAACTGTCTGGGGAAGGCATAATTTGATGACACCACACAGACAAACTTAACAAGAGGAAATAATGGAAATTTTGCAAGGATAAAAGGGTCAATAGTCTTACTCATGGCTAATCAGAAAACTTCACGATTTTAACATACTCATTTATGCCTGTCTGAATTCAAACAACTTCCTTCTCCTAATTTATCATTTATACAGAAAAGAAGTTGGGAGTAGCAGTCTCCATCAATAAAGCTTGCTCATAAAGGATACTTTTTTGTAGCAGAACAGATTTGAAGAGCTGCTCTCTCTGAGACTTCTTCCTCAGCAGGTTTCCAGAGCCTTCTTTTAGTCAAGGACTTTTCCACTGAGAAGATTAGCTAAAGATGAAAAAAGTATAGATGTTTCATAAAAATAATGCATTATGCATATAATTATAATAGACTTGTACTAAAGTTCTAAGTCCAAGTGATAACATAATTATGTATAAATGGGAAATACAGCTTACAGGTCAGCAAAATGTCATGTTAAAAGATGATTCTACAAAGATGCATAGGCAACTATTCAAAAGTGAGTTCCTTGTGAAATCTTAATCAGCCTCCTTATAAACCAAACAACACACATTCACATACTCACCTTGTATGCATTTCTCAAAAATGTTACAGCTTTATGCCTGTCACCTGAGTATCGGAAAAGACAGCTGTACTAAATAGCTACTAATTAAAATAGTTCAGCAATCACTGATCACCTGAACACAGTTCACCTTTTTCTGTTGACTACTAGTTTCAGTAATCACAACTGAGATGCAATTGCATTGCACTGCTAAAACTGACTCTTAGACCTTAGCCTTCAAAACCTGCTGTTTAAATTATGTATCATGTTTATTTATGAAAATGACATATACCTACAGAACAGAAACTAAACATGGCACTAGATGCCCCAATACTGTAACAAAAATGCATTTTTAAGTCTATCAGGCAGCAGCATGTTCTGATTAGTTTTTAAATATAACTGTACACACGTAAGTCAAAGACCACTAGTTCTATACAAGATACTGTTTTTAAAGAAATTGGCTATAGATCTTTCACTATTGTAAGCATCTCTAATGTGAACAATTCATTCAGACAAAACCAATAAAAGATAACATGGTACCATTACTAACAACTGTGCCACAAGGATTTAGCTTAATATAAATCTTGAAGATGTTTTCCTTACTTTCAGTAAATACAGTAAGATTTGCTATTACATTAACAAGCATCACAAGAAATGGAAAGCTAGCAAACACAAGCTGCGGTACAGTCCTATAGGACAGTGATTTCTGAGCTTTCTGTCTCAAAACCATACATCAAGCCAGAACATTTGTGCTTTTAGAAATAAAGCAACAAAGTAGTCATATACACTCCAGTCGATGATAGAAAATTACTCAACTACACAACTAAAGATATTCCTGTTTTTCCACCAGGAAGTCTACTTACCTTGCGCAAAGCATTTTGACTATCTTTTGACAGTTCTGGACTTGTAATAATAAATACACCAAGAATGAGTAAGCCTCCAGGAAGCATTCTAGAAACCTTTAACATAAAAATGAACATTTGTTAATAGGAATCAGAAACCTACCAACCACGCAACTTGATATATAACAGATTTCTAATGAGACGTGTATGCATTGAGAGCAGAAATTAAATAAGCAAGGCTGGTTTTCACTTATAGGTTCCTCTGAAATGTAGGAACACATCTCACAAATTTTTTTTCTCGCTTCAGTCCTATCGAGTCTCTGTTTCATAATAAACTTTGAAAACAATACAGGTATTTTGGTTTAAAATATCTGTGTCCAGGATGGCTAGGCACTTTCAGAAAAAAACCTGTGGTTACATAAGTGATGAGATAGTTTTTGTCAATCTTATTTCCCTTCTGTTCCTCCCACCCCCTTCTTTAACTCATACTGTGCTACCTGACTGGCGTGTGTAGTTATCCATTCTTCATCAACAGATGCCAAATTTGAAGGATTAATATCTTCCTTCTGCTCTTCCTTTGGAGGCGTTCGAACAGCCCGAATTACGTAGTCTTTTTGCACAGAACACTTCCATAAACATCAATATAAACAAATACACCATGAGGTTGATATAAAGTGAGAATATACTTCATAGTAACTATATGGGCTGCTTTACACTAGGTATTGTTAAAGTCTATAGTAATCTGTTACTAAAATAGTTCCTTCATAATTCTTTTTTTTGCCTTTGCCTTAAATCCTTGTTTAGTGACAAGTTTTATGTATGATTTTAATTTCTGTGTGTCATATCTTTCACAAAACTTTTAAAAGACTTGAGTAGTTGGTTGACACTGCAAACCCTTTACAGAAGTCCCTTCTGGTCATATTACCACCCTCCTGCATTATACAAGCTCAGTGTGATGTTAATAGACTTATCACAGATGATTAAGGCCAAGGGGGGGTTCTCCTATTAATAGGAATGAATGGAACAGACTTCAAATATTACACACTTACCTGCCCTATTAACAGGCCAGTGACATAAGGCTGTACTTTTGTGCTGAGGTTTGAAAGATACTGACCAATAGCTTCCTCAACAAAGTAAGTTCTACCCATTGCTGCAGGTTTAGGACTAAGTTCTGTAGTTTCAACCTACAAAGCAAATAATGTACAAAGTCAAAGAAAGTATATATACTACACATAGTTACATGAAAATAAAGATTCTGAATAGATTAATAGTTTTATCTGTCAACAAAGGTCAGTTAAGTAGCTTCATTATTTGCAAGTTTGGCTTTTTTCTTTTTTTTAAAAAAAGCATAAATCTCTATAATAAAGGAAGAAGTATGCAGCCCTTATTTGAAAGAAAACTATTTTAAGTACCTGCCACCGGAATGATACAGCAAATTGTGCAACTAAATGCTAGAAAAACACAGAATTCTAGAATTGTTTAGGTTGGAAAAGATCCTCAAGATCACCAAGTCCATCCAACCATAAACCTAACACTGCCAAGTCCACCACTGAACCATGTCCCTAAGTGCCACATCCACACTTCTTCTAAATACCTCCAGGGATGGTGAGTCCATCACTTCCTTGGGCAGCCTGTTCCAATGCTTGACAACCCTTTTGGTCAAAAAATTTTTCCTACCATCCAACCTAAACCTCCCCTGGTGCAATGTGAGGCCATCACCTCTTGTCCTATTGATTGTTACTTGGAGAAGAGACCAACCCCCACCTCACTACAATCCTTATTTCAGGTAGCTGTAAAGAGTGATAAGGTACCCCCAAGCCTCCTTTTCTCCAGGTTAAACAACCCCAGTTTCCTCAGCCACCCTTCATATGACTTGTGCTCCAGACCTTCACCAGCCACACTATCTTTCTTTGGACACACTCCAGCACCTCAGGGTCTTTCTTGCAGTGAGGGACCCAAACCCACAGTACTTAAGGTGCAGAGTATCTCAAAGCAACAATTTCTTGCTGTGTCATGTTTCATTTGAACCCAGAATGTAAAGTGTGCATTTTTCCATTCATATTTCTCTTTGAAGGACTTGCTAAATTCCACACTTGTACTTAATTATGCCATGCTCAATTTTCAGAATTTCCAATTCTTAAGGCGTTATTAGTACGGCATCTGCGGACTATGCGAAAGGCCATCTTTACAGCCCCTCAGCAGCCATATGAATCCAGGACACAAGGACCACTACAGACATTACTCCCTTCCATGCAGACCTATTTTGAGAACTGCTTCATGCATCGAGGACTTTCTCAAGAAAAATTAAGTACAAAATCTGAAGCCAAACAGTGAGCAAGCAAAGGGCATGCTGAGTCTCCGCGGAAGGCGCCTGATGGAGAAAGCTGCACAAGGGATGGTGGAGCTGAAGCTCTGGACCCGGGAGAGGAGGAAGGCTGTCACCCACCTCACCTCAGCCCACACAGACGGGCCAAAAGC